TTGATAATTATTTTCCAATATTTTTCTAAAAAGGGAAAACGGGTTTTTAATTAATTTTCCCAATAAAAAATTTTAAAAGTCAGTACGTTTAAATTTACTAAAGGAAGTAGCATTGAACTGCATTTTATCAAAAAGGTAGAAAATGAAAACAAAGTATTTTTTTTGGGGACTTTTTTGGTTTCCCATTTAAATAAAAAATCTTTAAAATATAATCGATTGCCTTGAAAACCCAAAAGCAGGAAAAGGGTGGGCCCATGGAAAAAAGGGTAAAATTTTTGGAAAAACTTTAACAAATCCCAAAAAAAAAAAATAAAAATTATGGGGAAAGGGAAAATGGATGATTTTTTAAAGACAAAATTTAGGTTTTAAAGGGTTTTTACTTTCCCCTTTTTATTAAAAAATTATTTAAAACTTAGTTGTTAATTGTTTTTGTATACCCTGGTTTTATACTAAAATAAAAGCTACCCATATTAAAAAAAATGGGTTTTGCTAAAATTTTTTACCCGATTATATGACGAAAATTGGGCAGAAAAAAAAAACCAAAAACTATTAAAAAAAATTAAAATAAAAATAATTATCTTTTTTCCTTGAGTTAAATTTTAAAACCTTTTCCCGCAATACTTTCCCATTTATATTTTAAATAACGCTGTTTTTTTAAAATTTTTTCGGTTTTTTAAATTTGATTGGTTGCTTTACTTTTTGTTATATCCCATTTTAAAATAACATTTTTTTTATTACTAAGAAGAAAAGAACGATGTATTTGTTATTAAATTAAAGGGGTTTTAAATTTAATTTGAATTTTTCATTTGAAAAAAAAATATTTTGGCATGGATCCTTTTTGCCCAATTGATATTTTAAAATTTTGAAAAACCCGTCCGGGAAAAATTAAATTTTAAGCAGGCTCCTTAATTACTTTTGGGGGATTTTAATGGTTTGGTATCAAATTTTTAACTCATGTCAAATACTAAAAATTTATCAAAATAGTTTGTCCATGGTGTATTTAAACGGGTGGGAAAAACCCGTTTGTTGGTTCAAATCCCGCAAATGAATTTCAAATACAACCCAATTTTTCCTTTTAACAAACAAATATCCAAATGACCGGGGATTATACCGGGTTTTAAAAATACGGGAAACAAAACTATCGGCATTATGAAGAATTAATCACTTTTTAAATTTTTAAATATAACCATACTTATCATTAAAAAAGGACGAACATCTTTATTTTTTTCCCAATTGTAATTAAAAACGGGGTAAAAGGCTACGGCCCGTTTTTCTTAAGGGTCTGAAACTTTAGAACCCAGGTTTCCCAAAACCCCAACGTAGCTAAATAATTTAGAACACGAACTACGAAATCTTAGATAAAACGCACAGTTTCAAACTTTCATTATATTTCTTATGGCTTTTACCACTGTCTGTCTACTCTTTTCACAGCATGGTTAGCAACTTTCTACAAAATCATTAAAAGTCACGAATTTGTATATTAAGAAGAAATGAAAAACAAACTTTAGGATAATTCTACTTTATTTGCTATTATTCAACATTTTACCAGTATTAAGATTTTGTTTATAAAAAACAAACAAAACAAACGAAAAAATCTTACAATCCTTACAATCATATTATACAGGCACCGGCAGTCGTTGATTTTCAATTTTTGTCTGCTTTTTTAAATGCGCGGGATAAACATGCGTACTTTGATGGCTATTTCACATGAACACATACAGTGACAGCTATCATGAAATGAATCAAAGTGCTGAAGGCACTTCAGTTGGGATACGTATGTGCACGACAAGTCTAAAAATTACATTTTTGACCATTTCGTTTGGAGATAATTCAATGAATTATAATTGAGGGTGTTACGAGATGAAAAGTAGAAGGTGTACAAGTTCAGGTCTAGGGATTGATTTAAATTAAATATGGCGTATATTGTACTTGTGCTAATATCATTACAACCACATATAAATTGCTGTTTCCACAATAAGGGCAATTACTCTTGTGTAATGATTGGATCTGACGCATAAATCTAAACACTTCAAGAAATTCACTGTGCATTAATTGCGCTAATATAAGATTATCAGACCTTGTATATACTATTGTTTTTTAAAGTTACCAAAGCGGAAATGAAATTCTGAACTTGACCTTGAGGCATCCCTACCGCGTGACATCGGCGGGCAACTCCAACGCAATACTCGGTACACATATGACATGTGTATTTATTCTCAAAATGCACTGTCATCTGAGGTTCTTTTGTTAATTGAACATTTACAATATAAACATTTCATCATTATCACATTTCACTCGATTCAAGTTTTTCTTTTAATTAACCCATTACTTCATGAGCAATTTGTGAAAAACTGCTGTTTTCATTGAAAAGTCTCCCGTTACAAGTTCAAATTGTCACAACATTTTTCAAACAAAAGCAAGTGTAGGGTATCCTAAATAAGGCATTTTTTCACCATTTGAGACAACGAAAAAGGGGTGGGAAGGCGTTAAAAGGCGTGTATATCGCGTAATGAGTTAGCACAAAACGATGAAAAGACTAGAAATTACACAAAATCGGCTTTTTTCTATTTTTAAACATGGCCTTGCATATAAATTTGAAGAAAATCCACTGTTTTGAATTTAATCACGTTGCGTAGTTTCAGTGAAATACCAGCGGGCATAGTACTGCGTGCACGATATGTTGCTTGCAAAATGATTTGTTTTCATAAAATGAATTGCTGTTTGTATCCGGTCAACAATTTTTCCATTCCTTGACGGATTTATTTTTTTGCCTAAATGCATTGAACATAGTGGTAATGTATCACGCACAAGACACGGGTCCTTAGCTAAAGTGTCAAGGTCACACTTTTTTCTAAATGGATTGAAGATTACAGCGCATTAATGTGTTGAATAAATTCAGCTTGCTAGCTAAAAAGTCAAGGTCGCATGTGCCAAAGCTATGATATAATATTATTTTATATAGTGCGATGCTGTTGATTTATTTGGAAAATGACATACGACTTACAAGTGCGACATTTGAACAAAAGACCATATTCCTTTGCGCAACATCTTATCATCATGTCTAAACACATCTATGCCGAGCAGAGCTGCATGACTGGTACTGGTACTGTAGTACGTACTGCAGCGATTTTGCAAGTACTTGTACTGATACTGAATTACTCTCACAAACTTTTGCTACTACTTGTATTGGTACTGCATTACTGTCTTAAAAAGTGGTACTGCTACTGCATTACTAGACAGTACTTTTGGTTTTGATAAAAATAGCATCAATTTTTCTCATAAAATAAAGATGTAAATTACATTATTTTAAATCTATAGATAATTTGCTGCGATATTCTTTTCAATTTTAGTATTCATCATAAAGAGCACCAAATACTTAAAGTAAAAATTGAATTGAGATAAACAGACTCAATAAATCTTAACCCTAAAATATCCTTATTAAAATATTTTATTACTTTGTATTTACTAGTAAAAGAGCAAAATCATTACTAATTAATTGCTTCTATTGTCAATTATCCTATTTCAAGTGATATTGTTAGGACCATACAAAGTTGTTATTTACTTTGGTATAAATTGAACAGAGGTGTGAAGGTGTGGAAGGCTAAAAAGACTGTTGTGTTTTAAATGAAAGATGATTGCATTGTATTACAGTTGACTGGTTACTTAACAATTAGATATGACATAAATATATGTTGTAAATATTGTTTGTAAAAAATATATGTTAAAACTATAAAGTTGTAAAAATGTTTTGTTAATTTTGAAGTAAATTATGATTTTATTTCTATGCTGAAAAATATTTGTAATTATTTGTTTGACTCTGTGTATTAATTCAAACTTTGATGAATATGTAAAAGTAATGGTACTGATACTTAATTACTTTACCAAAAATCTAGTACTGGTACTGGTATTGGTACATGCATAATCTGCCAAGGACTGGTACTGGTACTTAAGTACTACACCCTAAGTACTGATGCAGCTCTGATGCCGAGTTATTTTTGAACCCACCAAGAAATAACAGAATTGATGACACAAAGCGACCATTATTGCACTTTAAAATATTTTATCAAGAAACTGGAATATAAATGTGACCTTGGCCATAAAGCGAGAGACATTATTTGAAATTTCTTGATGAAGGTATGTCATGCTCCTTGATGACAGTCCTTTCTTTTGAAAGCTGATTGCATGATGAGAATAACCACCAGTTAGGTAATTAGTTTACTTGAACCAATTTTAAAATTGGTTATAACGCAATATTCATTATAAAATAGTTCCTATTTGTTCTCTTGATACTGAAATCTTCCTATTTCCCATAAATTTAGTATGCTGTATGAAGAAATACTTTTAACAACACTTTCTAGAAAACATAGTAAAGGAAAGCGACTGATTAAGAAAGAGGAGTATTTGGTTATTTGATTTGAAAAATCAATATGATATGTGTTTTGAAAAAAAATGAATGCATGTTTATTATAGAGAAAATAAGAATCCCTAAAGAAATCAAAACACGGCAAAATTAAAAATGTTGCAGGCTCGGTTTGATTGAGCCTGTTCATGGAAGGTACTGTCAAGTGCAAACTACCGTCCACGTCCCCAGCACCGGCTATAGCAGAATTAAATTTAACATGAACTGGTAAAATTTAGAATTTTGAAAAATCCGAAGATATGTTCATATGGCGATATATTATGCCTAAAGAAGTACTGTTTTCTTCTTGAGGAAAGGCAAACATGCAGACATGATATAATACCGTGTAAAAACTGGTTAAGGGCCTTAAACATGCTTATCAATTGAACAAACTTGCGCTAAATGCTAATTATTTGTGTGAATAGTTAAATGCAAACAAAGTAGTATTTTGATATTTCATAAAAATCAACTATAATTTTGTTAGGTAATTTATCAGCATGTTCAAAGTTGAAAGTTACGCAATTTTTAAACGACAAATATTTCAAAAGCAAGGTTTTCAATCCTTATCTTTTCTATATTTCATGTTTCTGGCCTTCATTTCTAGCGATTTATTTTTTGAATTGATACGGACTTGTTGTGCTATTTTGGTCATGTTTAAAGTATGACCCTTTTATAAAAGAATTTTCTATCTATGAATGAAGCGGACACAAATTTGTATTTATATTGGTTAAATGAAAAAAAATGTTACCCGTTTTGAGCTGCTGATATCGTTCTTCATTTACCGCCGGATCATTAACAACCAAATATTCTGTAAATAAAGACAGACAGACAGAAAACTTTATTTCACTCAAGTATATAAAAATACAACATGAGGTTTAACAATATATTGTAGCTATAATACAGTCCGGTATATAAAGCAGGTCTATAACATAAATTATACCATTATTATACAATAGATGTATTTGAGTATTCATCCGATTGAGGGGGAACTCAGATGCTCATATGCACAAAAAAGTACAGCCCTTATGACATGTTAAGGAAAAATATCAAGAATAAAGAAAAGAAACAATAATAATGGAATTAAAATAGTAAGATACAAAGACCCAACATTATTTAGGATAGCAGCACTTATAAAAAACATTTTTGTCCTCATGACTCCTTAATCAGTAATCAGCTACCCCACTAAACAAAACAAATAATAATAATAATAATAATACTAAAATAAAAAAAGACAGAATTGAGAAACAACTCATGAAAATTGGCGCTCAACCATATTAACAACAGTCACCGGAACAGTGACCTGAGCTCAACATTTTTAGTATCACCATAGAAGCTCAATTTGTCGAACGTCATTTTTGCTTTCGGTCAAGATCATATTTGAATTACTTAACATCACGGTTTGTACTGCATGTTGCTGTCAAAGTATGCATCGAATTAATTACATATTTACAATTTTTCAAATTTTTAAAACAGAAGTTTGTTTAAAACGAGGGTTGTTCAAGAGATAAGAGGACTGCAAATCTCCTGTTTTCATTTTCTAATTTGTGTGCGTAAGTTTACAGGACACAAATATCGGAACATTTCCTCTATATACAGTAAAAAAATAAATATGACATGTTCACAAATAACTTTTTTTTTAATTTCAAATGACAAGTGGTGTGCGACGTCAATAAATGAAAATAAATATAAGAAGCGTCATTCTATCTGGATAATTCTTCTTAGCTATCGTGTGACTGTGATCATGCCTTATATGTGGAAATGAAGCAAGAAAAATACGATAACATTCTGGTTTCACTCTCCGAAAACATTGCTCGATAACCGTCACTCTCCGCGTTTTTCTCGTGTGTTTTTTTTAATCTTGGAATTAACGTCTTGTCAACTATTCGCTATTATCCTCGCCCTTTCCTGTTTTTCTTTTTGTTATCTCGTAATAGACGTCTTTATATTGCTTGCGCAAGATAAACACGAATATCTTCATTGCATATTAATTGTACAGTGTTAACTTAATCTTTTTTGTATGCATCTGAAGGAGTTTCGCAAATCTGTTGACAAAGTTAAACGTAGGTCCGAATTTCATTTTCAACAAATGTCAAATGTCTATATTAAACGTAATGACCGCTGTTGTTCAAAACTTTGTAATTCAGCCACTCCATGTCTGAATAGCGTCAAAATGTCTCTTAAATATAACAAAATGTGTAAATGAAATATATAGATAAAAGGAAATAATCTAGAATCTATAATCTATGTCTAAAAAAGATATAGTACTGATCACTCCCGTGAATGTTGGTCAAAATTCACGTTAGCAGTTAGACCTGTGAAAGCCATAAAAACTTTGTTCTAAAAATATCTGACGGCCGTTTTGTACAGGAAAGCGAAACATGCCGACGATAGGCATAACTAGGGATGATAATGATCACTCCTGTGAAGTTTCGTCGAAATCCCGCAAGAAGTTCCATCTGTATAAGTAGGACAAGATTTTTCTATTTCTTGCTCTGGCATATTTTGCGAAGTCAAGCGGAACAGGCGCGCCATATGCACAACTAGGGATGGTACTTATTACTCTTTATGGAGTTTGAATGCAATTCCACATGCAGGTTGACCTGTGAAGTCGAACAATTTTTTTTTATTTATAGCTCTGGCGGCCATTTTGTGCAACGGTGAAGAACGCACCGGCCATATGCACATTGAGGGATAGTACTGATCACTTCTGTGAAGTTTCATTGAAATCTCTCAAGCAGCTCAACCTGTGAAAGTCGGACAAGATTGAAATATTTATAGCTCTAACGGAAATTTGGAGCAGCGAAGCGGAACGTGCTGGGTATATACATAACTAGGGATGGTACTAATCACTCCTGTGACGGTTCATTTAAATCCAGACAACAACTTAACGTGTGAAAGCCGGACAAGCTGAATACGGACATATTGAGAGCCGGATGGCGGACAGACAGACAACGAAGGCAAAATTAGAAGTAAAACTTGGTTTCAATAGAATTTTGATGCGGTGCGCCGGGTGCGTGTTACTGTGGTTAGTCAATATCGCAGAGAACATGCGTTAAGCAAAAGTATTTAATAAACTTATGCTCTACAGGAAGAAAGAAAATACAATCACTGTACAGATGAAAATGTTCTCAATTCAATGATATATGAAGATGTTAGACTGTAAGTCCTATCATGTTTTGAACACCCCTCATATATTATCTCAAAAGTAATTCTTTTCAAGCAGTATGGTGATGTTGTCCACCATGTCTTAGTCAATGATGAAAAAAATACTTCTACGCTACTGAGGAAAGGTTTTACAAAGTTCATGCGAAAATTATTCAAAATGAGTGTTGTTTTGAATCAATAGTTTGAATTTAAACAAGCCATAAACTACCCTTTTCTCTTTTATTGTAAGATTGCAAGTGTTTTTAGGAACCTCAAACTAATTTAAAGTGAAGACTTTACATACGTATGCTTTATACTTGATTCAATATCCAATTTTTTAATGTTACTATGGACCGACCATCATATTTCTAATAAAAGTAAAAGTGTCTTAACATTGACGCTAGTGTTTCCAATAGGCAATCTTAAGCTGGGTCTCCACAAGCGCTTGATGCTATATAGCGCTTACCATATAACAAGTTTAATATGCTATATTATTGCTAACCATAGTATAAACCCGTGCACCATTTCTTTTATTTACAGTGAAGTAAACGATTTATACCATTAAAAACACATGCGAGTGATGTCTCCCAAAAATTTGTTTTATACCCAAATTGATAAATCATCTAATTATAAACTTGATGTAAATAAATTGCCGTTTTTAAGTAATTGAGACGTCGACCTTGACCCTAGGGATGCACAGAAGCATAGACTGGGTATATTCAAATTTGATAACAAAAAACAGAGAAAACCGGAATCCCTAAATAACGTCCAAAATAAAGAAAATGAAAATGTGGCAGGTTCGGTTTGATTGCGTCTGTTTATGGTCGGTTCTGAAAAGTGCAAGTTACCTTCTATGACCCCTAACACAGTTTGAAAGTAGATCTGTGAATTTATCATTTCAAAATTAAAATAGTGAAATTTTGAATTTAGGCATCAACAGATGTGATAACACGGCGAATTCAAGCTCTCCGTCAAAACGATTTGTTTGAAGTAAGCCCGAACGGATTTCAAACTCATGCCCGTCAATCACTAATCTTACAGAAGCCATGCTGCGCGTGTTTACCGCCCACCCCCCCCCCCTCCCGCAGGGAAAATGTTACCTGAAATTTGAACAATTTACTCGGTGACAGGAACCCTTAAATGTCGCAAAGTGATAGTCTTACTAACTTTAAAATAATTGTGAAAAGGAATAAATAGATGAAGAGGTAAATATGTGCGTATGCAGTTTAAAGAAGAAAAAACAAAAATAAACAAAGTACAGTTTTTGTACTTGCACACTGCAATTCCTACTAAAATATTATGCTGATATATTGAGTTCAATTAAGGTTCAATCAAACCGAGTTTGCAACATTTACAATTATGTCGTGTTTGATCTTTTACGGATTCTTTATTTCTCTATGTACATTGGAAAATCCTAAGGCAAGGTGTGCTCTCGCAGTTTATCAAATCAAAGAGAAGTAATGCTCTGGACGATAAAATTTAAAGTACCTCTAAAGAAGGCAAGGCAAAGTTATTTTTCTTATCTAGCACTTTCTACCAAAGTGTTCTGTCAATGAATGAAGGTAAAATAAAATTGCTCAGGTACTGTTGGAGTTATTCTTTATCTTAGCAAGGCTTAATTGTGACGGAAGAACTCATGGACGAACGCACGCACACACGCTCATGCGGAAAATATTTCCCATACCCGCGTCGCCTTTGTCGGGGGATTAAATTACAAAGATTTTCAAAACATAAGAAGGTAATTATAAATCTTGAGTATACGATATCAAAAACTTACAATTTTCAATGGTTATAACAGAGAAATTACCATTCAACCTTGTAATCTTGTTTCCAGCTGGCATTTGTTTTTCCAGTTTTGCTATTTTACTTTTAGTAATCTTTACATCTTTAGCATTTTTCAAAGTTCGTTTATGGGTTTGCGCTTGTCGCTTTGTTTGCGTCCCCAAAATGTCCTTTACTTCTTTAACTTCTTTCGTAACAAGTTCTAACTTAACTTCTACTGCCTTTTCGTAATGTGTCCATTTTTTAATTTCATTTTTCATTCTCTCTTCTGCTTCTGCATCAAGAGGACTGGATTTATAGTCAGTTATCTTCTGCTTTAGGTCTGTTAATGGTTTACCTGAGGACGAGTTAACTCTGAGGAGAATCTGCAATGTAGGTACAGTAACTGATTAGCCGAATACTAACTTTGATAACACATTTGATATATCGAAAGTTTAAGTCGATGTTAAAAAGTAGTCGTAGACATAATATTAAATTCAAGAAATTTAATCATATTTTTACGACCTTTTTGATGTCTTTCCACATTGTTTTAAATCCATTTTGTTGTATTCCGGTAGTCGTCGATATATGACACATCTGAAATTGATGAAAACGGTTTCACGACCTCTAAAAGATATGTAACAATTATTTATACAGTTTCTGTTTGCTAGTAGCTAATATAAAATTAATTGTAACAGCGTTTAAAATTTCACAGGTATTCTTGGATGAAGTCCCCGTTTACTTTAGATATTTAAATTCTTTATACATTAACTTATTGCCAGTAACGTATTTTGCATAAATTATTACAGCGTTTTAAAATGCATACTTATTTTTGGAATAAATTTACAGATTTGTTTACATAAAATCAAAGTATAAGCATATTGCATCAATTCTAAAAAGTAATATATAAGAAACTTTAATAAACAACATATTCTTGTTTGATGGAAAAAAGAACACAAATTTAACGTATACGTAATGACATGTCATATTTAGTTTAAATGATCAATACTTTTAAGTTCTATTCAGCAATAATGTTTTGAAATAAAGTCTTACTTCGTTTCTGTAGCTCTTTAATCTATACATATCTGCTTCGATTGAAAGATCATTCTGTCCTGGTTGAGTGTTCCAGTTAAACTTTGAATTTAGCCCGAAACACTTAAGGTTTCTAAGGAGGCAAATAATGAGCGTGATATCCAAATCGGAAGTTGATATATTTCCACCGGATGGAAACAATAAGGCGTATTGTGCCTTTGTTATTGTGCCTCGTCCTCGTAAACGGGTGATAGTTGTGTTTTCTTTAGCAAGACACGCACTAAGAGTCATGGATTTAGCGGTAAGTATCTGATCTACGTAATTTCTTAAAACTGTGAGTCCACCATCTATTATCAGTATTTGTAATCGGAAAAGGTAGATACGATTGTCTGATGCCTGGGCTGAAGATGATGTACCAGGTTGAGCAGCAGCCATGACAAGATATTGCAATAAAGTGACGTCTTTCTATAATGACATAATACCTGTAAAATGCATTGCTGAATGTTTATATTGAATGACATATACAATTTCGAAATGAGACTGGATAACATATTTTGTTGATTTTTGAATATTGGGCAATACAATGTTGCACATGAAAATGGGTACTTCATCCTTTTTCCACTTTAGAAAGATCCCAGATTGTTGTTTATAATATTCTATTGTATTACCTAATACCTCCTATAAATGCTAACGTCGCTTAGCACAATGTACGGTGGTAATCATATTTAGAAAATCTATAGGTTTAAGTTGTAAACAGTTTACAATTAAAACAGTTGTAAACATGTCATAAATATGTTGTTACAATATATTTGATTGTTTCATTGCAAAACAGTAGGTAATCAATCAGTTATGTCATGGGTGTTTGCGGAACAGTATCGCTATCAGGGATAACATTTGGGCAGCAGTTTGACTGTTCCTCAAATACCGACGAAGTACTTTCATACTGTGAGTCCTTGAGTCACTACCCATAGTGACAGTAAAATGATGATTGGTTATGTCAAGATTGAAAGAGCGACACTTGTTTTATCCCAGATGCATGTTTACTTTTCTGGAAGCCTATTTTGCAATGCTTCATATCAAAACAATCTAAGCCCTTAGCATTTTTCTTTAATGGCAATGTTAATGCGTTTCTTATATGAGATATAAAGAAAGGTTTTCCACGAGACAGGGTCAATTTTGACCCACGATACGTGATTTTTGGAAGGAGCACAAGGTTACGTTACTATAAAATACAAGATTTCTAGGCTCTCGGTAAAGTTACTGTATTGTATCATGACCAGCAATTGATTACAAAACAAAATCAGTTACACCTTAATTATTAATTGGACATTAGGTGATGAGAGGAAAATATGTTTGTTTATGTATGATAACTATGTAATATTAGAATCTTACACTGGCTGCTGGTACAGACTGGAATATTAAGCTCGAGGGTAACTGTTTACGGCGGTTACGAGGCTCTGTACGCAATTCATTCATTAAAGGCTCGCGTTAATGACGTCATTTAAAACACTTGTCTTACATGGGGGATGTAAGATAATAATATCTGTCATATTTTGCGGTTCGGATCGGAATATCCGTCCCGAGGTGACCCGCCATTTGGGCGGTAACGAGGCTTGCCGAACCGCAAACATATGTCAGATATTTTTTCTTGCATATTCTACCATATTCCATTATATTTTAAATTCTTTATCTTTAATTTCAATGGTAATTTATATCATAACAACCGTAAATACTTTCTTACAACAGCGTATGAATTACAACTTCATTCATAACGGTAAAATGACGTCATCCTAAGAGTGCCATTGTACAGCACGCGACTCATCTGGCACCCCCCATGCCAGATGAAATTTCCGGCATGGGTAAAACTCATAAAACGCCAGTCTGATATGCAAGAAAGAGTTTTCTAGCACCGGTGTAAACGGTAGATAATCCTGTCTGATATGAAAGAACAAATAAAACATGGCATCGAGGGCAATATGCAAGTTTACGGTTTTGTTGGCCAGACTGCAACAGGTATGTGGGCATAGTTTTTTTTAACTTTCCATTGTCTGGCCAAACAGTCAGCAAATTTGCATTTTGCCGAAAGGCCATGTTTAATTTACACCCTTTTTGGCTGTCATTTTTTCTCTTTAATTTGCTTTCAAACAAATAATATTTTTATTTGTTCAGTGTTTGAAATATCTCAAACCCTAGCCTGATTTTTTTTCAAGCGATGCAGCAAAAATTCATGCTTTTCTCTGATTTTTTTTCATTTTTTGACAAATTGACAATTTCGCCTGTTTGTGTTGTTGTGAAATTCGCATGTCGTGTAAGTCGCGTTTAAACAGTCTGCATAAGAATTATGGATTGGTGGCCGGTCTGTATACGATTTTTGGACTGAATGACGTCATACTAAATATAAAAGGGCATATAAAAATGAGATAAATTATATATTTACCTATATATAAGCTGTGTGATAAACATATTTTTTTATTTATGTAGTCTATGAGAATATCAATACAGTTGTCTGACATAAAGAGAGGGCGATTTTTTAATTGTCATATAATATCTCATTTATTTTCTCAATAATTTTATGATGACTAGATGAGAATCTGGAAAATTACAGATGTACAGTCTTTCAGGAACGGTATAACATTATTTGAATGTAGTTCTTAATATAGATCTTTCTCACCATAATAATAATAATAATTGAAAATATACATGTTCAGGACCAGTGTTATAAATGGGTCTCCCCTCGTATATTGCCACGCCTATGCGGTGCTCTTGTTTTTTTTTAATCGTTTTTTCTCTTCTTCTTGATCACCAGGGAAAAATAAACTAAACAAATACTTTCAAAAAGCCGTAACAGGTCAGGTTGCTGCATGACAAAGCATAATCGCACTAAACATATGTAGTACAAGCCTTTCAGAAGCAGTACAAACATCGTAGTGCTGTCCCATCCTTTATATTCACCGGAAATTGCCCCTTGTGACTTTTAATTGTTTTGGTGCTAAAGAAATACAGGCAAACATTTGTTCAGAGCACAAATCAAGGTTCAACAATATTCTAATACCTAAAATAAGACTATGGAAATGTCTTTAATGATTTCCAATTTTCAATTTTCCGATTTCAAAATTTATGGCATTGTTATGAAACATTATACAATTTCCAAAGCCTTTTAAGATTGAATCCTGAAACTAAAACTATCGGAGGAGAATACTTTGAGGGAACTACATACAAATTCAGTGAAACCTAAGAAAAATCAAATTTTTTGTTCAGATGCATTCATATTTGAACACTAGTTGTCCTCGCGTGTTCTCCGTGCATGATTTAAGGCGCGAACGGAACGTGATTTAAAACACCTCGTTCCATAAACTAGCTGAATAGCTTCCCGCAATAAAAGTATCCGAAGTCCCTACCAAAAATCCGAACTTTTGCGTTGAGTGACAAATGTTTAAAAGGAATGTTTTTAACTATAAGACGCTCCATGCGAAGATGAAACTCATTATGCAAATGTTTAACAGTGTTTTACAGTTTGACTGATCGTAATTATATTTCGCAATCAATAGAACAACATTTTGACCTATTGTTAAATCAGTTGTTTTGATGTGCATAAATTTACGATTCTTCGTGTAATATGGTAAAAAAATCATTCATATCTAGAATGACATTTGAACAAACGCGTATACATGTAAAGTTTTCAGATATAGTTCTTTTGAAAGAATCATGACATGCTTTATTTCAACTTAGATATTTAAAGATTCAAACTTCTATTATAAAAAGTCACTGACAACTATGGTATCTAAATATAAAATAATGTATTCATGTTGACAATTTACAAAGGACTTTTGTCTACAAACTGTACGCGACAGGAATTCAAAAAAGACTGTATGGACAATTCAAAACAGTATATAGTTTTTGATTTAATTTATAATAACGAATATGATAATAATTTATATAATTTTTAAAAGTTGTAACAATTATAGATCGATTTGTAGTTTCACGTAACGACTGCACATAGGTTATTTTTAGGTGATTAAATATTTGGCTGAAAGGCCAACTGTGCCTCAGAAATGGTTTCAAATTTATTACTGAAAGGCTTTAATGTTTGCAGTTTGATACAATTTTCAAAGGAAAAAATCATTATCATATAAATGAACTAGCTGTTGCTGTTTTTGCTCTTTTTCAACTGAGACGTAATGTGCCTTTAAGTTTTGAAAATATATATGCAATTGGTAAACATCTGAAAATATTGTCACGATTATACAATCGTATTAATGGAAATCCTTTTTAAGATATATTAATATTTAGGAGATTTCTATGAACCATACACAATAAAGAATGTTTTTTCAGTAAATGATGGCTTTGAAGAACATCTAGAAAAAAAAAAACAACCAATGTCGGTATATACTGCAGAAAAACACAAAACAGCTCGACTGATTACTATATTCTTATACACCATAATTCATTTATGACAACTTACAATAATTTCATATAAATGTATCGCTTATTGTTTTATCCATAAATGTTTATCAACCTTACCAGAATCTCATGCATTTAAGTTGAATTTAATTTGAGCAATACTCATTGTAACAACAATGATGGAAAAATGTTTCCCTCCATGTTTCATCCTTAAAGTTTGACATTGTGACTAACAGAAAAATTGAGAGTATACATACTGATATATCAAGACAGACAGACATACTGACTGATTGATTAACTTACAGGCTTTCGGAATATAATCAAGGCAGAAATACTGACTTATGGACAAACATGACTTAACGTGACTAACGGACTGAGTGAGACCTACAAAATGCAATCAATGAAGACAAGTGACTGACGGACAGACTGATGGAAACTTACAAAATGTTATCAATGAAGACAAATTGACCAACGGACAAATGATGGGAGGCTGACAAAATTTTATCAATAAAGACAAAGTGACCGACGGCAATCTAATGTTGGACTAACATAATGTTATCAATGAAGACAAAGTGATCGACGGACAATCTTACGCTAAGCTTACAAAATGTTATAAATGAAGACCGGAGACTGACGGACAATCTAACAGTACAGTAAGAAAATGTTATCAATGAAGACAAAGTGACCGACGGAAAGACTGATGGAAACTTACAAAATGATATCAATGAAGACAAATTGACCAACGGACAAATAATGGGAGGCTGACAAAATTTTATCAATAAAGTGACCGACGGCAATCTAATGTTGGACTAACATAATGTTATCAATGAAGACAAAGTGATCGACGGACAGTCTTACGCTAGACTTACAAAATGTAACAGTATACATTCAAAATGTTATCAATGAAGACAATGTGGCCGACGGACAGACAGATGGTAGACGTACAAAATGTTATCAAAGAAAACAAATTGACCGACGAACAGACTGATGGTTAACTTTCAAAATGTTTTGAATGAAGTCATAATGACTGGTGGACAATCTTACGGTAGACTAGCAAAATCTTATCAGTGAAGACAAATT